GGGGGGGTGAAATATCCCTTTAAAAACCACAAAAAATAAATTAATTAATTATAAATAGATAAATAAAATACATAAAATCAAGATAAATAAAAATATAAAATAAATGCTTTACAAGTTTATAATACAGTAAGTTAATATAAAGTTAATATAATACAAATAAAGTTAACGTGTGCACGTAATTATTAATAATAATAAAACAAATAAATTATTATTAGATTGTGGTCATAAATAGTGCATTGCTCACATGAGTGGTGTAATGACACTCTTGGAGTTGGTGCCCTGGAAGATGCTTGGCCGCTGTTGGAGGACGCCCTCCTGTGATCTCACAGAGGGTGAAGTGGAACGCAGAAAACTACGGCTGCCTGGTCGGCCAGGTTGCTCAGAAACTGCAAAATAAACAGCGACAAATCCTAAGAATATTGTCAGAATAATCATCAGTAAAACATCATAAAACATCAGTTTGTTATAGACTGAGAAGAAAGGACCATTATTGGTGACAATTTCCTTCGGAGTGGTCTTACCTCCACGCATATATTCTACCGCTGCGCGTTCCCGTTCTCTCTGATCTCTTTCTCGCTCCCGCTCTCTTTCCCTTTCCCTCTCGCGTTCCTTCTCTCTCTGACTCTCTCTCTCCCTCTCCACAATAGCTGCAGTGGCACTGTGATGGGCAGGATGTCCTGTGGGGAGTGAAGAACAGGAAACACACAAAAACAAAAAGTGGGGTTACAACCAAAAAGTCCCTTTACACTTGCTGCACTTTGACAGGGCCAGCTGTGTTGCTGTTAGGGATAGCAGAAAGAGTCATGATAACAGTGATGTGAAATAATTGCACAGTAGGGCTGTGCAATTAATCACATGCAATTTTCAAGTGCATCTCGTCAGTAAAGCCGGTTCCGTGATTAGTAGTAAATCGCCATCACCTGCTTTCAGATGGAGCGGCATTTAATACACAGAGCCGTAGTTCACTGACAAGCTAGGCAATATCGTGTTCATAATCGCAGATGAATCGCATTCGATTATGAACGCGATATTGCTTAATAATTGTCAGTGAACCACTGCTCTGTGTAGTAAATGCTGCTCCATCGGAAAGCAGGTGATGAAGATTTACTACTAATCACGGAACCGGCTTTACTGACAAGATGTGCATGACAAATCGCATACGATTAATTGCACAGCCCTATTGCACAGATATACAAATGTACAGTGGGTACGGAAAGTATTGAGACCCCTTTACATTTTTCACTCTTTGTTATATTGCAGCCATTTGCTAAAATCATTTAAGTTCATTTTTTTCCTCAAATATATGAGTGTCACAGCAAAGGGTCTGAATACTTAGGACCATGTGATATTTCAGTTTTTCTTTTTTAATAAATCTGCAAAAATGTCAACAATTCTGTGTTTTTCTGTCAATATGGGGTGCTGTGTGTACATTAATGAGGAAAAAAAATTTACTTAAATGATTTTAGCAAATGGCTGCAATATAACAGAGTGAAAAATTTAAGGGGGTCTGAATACTTTCCGTACCCACTGTATATGAATAAACAAGGCATTAATCCATTAACCAAGGCATTCTCTTTAATACATGTTAGCATGTATTATTACTCCTTTTCCACTGAAATGGTGCTGGTTCCCGTGGGTGTGGGGAATTGCAAAGCCCTCCAAGACAAACAATGACGTAACTAACTATATAAGTACAAAAGCTGCCCACAAACAAACATGCCTAACCTTTGTCTTTGTTTATAAGTATTACAAGAACATCAGTGTATTCACAAGTTATTTTCAGTGTTTTATGCAATCACAATCTGCTTTTGTTGCAACAGTCAGAGGTTACAACAAATACAATTCTAACCAATCAAATGGACACACAATATTTGTAAATAAAATCAATGTGCTACATGCAACACGACATATAATGGGATGTCTATGAACTGTGCATCACTGCATCAGGTATTTCATTGGTTAGAATCAAGCCAACTAGTTTTGTTGCATGACAGCTTCGCCAGATGGAGAAACCTGAATTGAAAAACTAAGGTGCATTCCATTCAGAAGTTTGGTTCCACTTTAAAACTTTTTATACAAAATTTATGAAATAAATTGTTTTTGTGAAGAGTTATCTAAATGGTGAACACTCAGAAGAGACTATAACTACTCATAATAGACTACTATGTTTTAATTACATGTAAAAAAGGTTGCGCCTCAATGTACTTTACCATGTTAAAATATGTTTAAACGTTAAAAGAATCCTCATGCTTATTGGCTGCTTCCTCTAAAGGAGCGTAACTTTGTTTGGTGAAGTAAAGAGCAAAAATGAACAATGGACTATGTAGACGCTTATTACTATGCTTTACCGGCGGACACAATGGAAGAATCAGTACCTATGGAGCCAAACAAGCAGAAAAGCTCAAAAGCCAAAAAAAACTGACAAAGAGATACAAAACGGGTACAAAGCAAAATAGCAAATTAAACGAATTATTCTTAAAAGACAACAGGTATTTGTATGTACTCATGTACAAGATTCAAACTGTATGTAAAGACAGCACATGGAATAATGCTAAAAAGATCAGCACAGAACTGGTGTTGTAGTGTTATACTACAACACCAGTTCTGTGCTGATCTTTTTAGCATATAACACCGACACAGGAGCCATGAAACAATTCTAAAAGCATATTCACACAGAGAGCAAATATATCTAGCAATATAATTTTTTTGCGATTCATTTGACGTCATAATTCCCCTCTCGTTTGAATAGATGTTTAGACAGTCAAGGTCTACTCACCTTCAGACCACCTGCGCTCCCAAGACGAACTTTAAATATGACACTACTGAGCCAAGGCCAATGTTTGCCTTCACCCCAATATGATGTTTGAGATGCACAAATAAGGCAGCTTCTCAGGGGAGGGCAACAGAGAGGGCTAGGAAAGTACTTGCAGAAAATGGGGGTTTTGGCACTTCAGCTGCTTTTTAAATTCTGACTAATATCCTACATGTACATCCATCTTAAGCTACAATCTCATGCAGACAGAGATTGATACCAGCAGCTCTCTTCATTCTTTGTGACTGCTAATATGCTCAATCGAATCCCTTAAAACTAATCCCTTATGTGTCACCACATACAGAATTCAGCAGAAAGCCTGCCAAGGCCATAAACTGATCTGAACAGACGGTGCATCTTCTTGATTGATTCATTAAAATAATTATTTGTTTGTGAATTTGACTAAACTAGTGCCGCATGTTCGGTTTCACTAGTAGCCAGTGAAAACAAAGAATATAAATTTGAGCTCTTCAGAGTCACACTAGATATAAAAAAAAAATTGAGACACGAACAAGTTTGGGTCCAACACATTGATGAGTGCCTCAGCCATGGGTTGTGTGTGATATTAGTAGCCTTGGGTTCCAGGTAAATGAATGTCCTGGAGATTAATATTAACATAAATGTCCTTGTCATTTGATTGATACATTTGAAAGTTTACGAGTGGCTTATTTTTTGGGATTTGTGGAAAAACAATGCACTTTTGTCTAAATAAAGCAACCAAAATTAAATCATAACTGTACATTTTTGTGTTTTTTCTTACACAAAGTATTACAAAGGCTACATTATTTACATTATTAAGTAAACGTTGCGAAGAAGGATTGGAGAAAGAATTTCATCTACAAATAAGGGAAGATTATGGGCCTACTTTTAAACCTACACATGCTGTGGAGTTTCTAATTTGTCATTTCTGATTTTGGTCTTGGGACATTACTGATTTTTGCATTCGGCTCCCCCAAAAAAATAAAAATAAAGACCACCGGGTCAGTCGGACTCGGGTTAGTCTGTGTCAAGTCAGGTTTTTCTTTTTAAAATAATAAATGATGCACGTCTGGTTCGGGCAGGAACTGATTTGGGTCAGGTACAGGTTTTAGGACCAAAGAAGACCTAGAATTGTTGTTTTTTGTATTATTACACAATAAATCGCCACAATCAATTCAGACTAGCTCATAAATCAGGTGAAATGTATTTCCTTTTGCCACGATGCTGTAGATTTAGTAGCAGCGCATTGCCATCATAGTGGTGCAGAAAACAGATGTAGTTAATTTTAGGTGGAAGAAAGAGTCTCGATTAAAACAGCAAAACTGATCTCAGAGCAGCAGCAAAGGGCGAGTTTCTAAAGCACCACCACCAGGACTGGAAGGGGAAGTTCAGGTGTTGGATAGGAGAGGAGGGGTGGGATCCTCACCTGGAGATATGGAGGCAGGGTTGAATGCCCTAGGAGGGAAAGGGGTCTGAGGTCCAGGGATGTAGGTGATGCGTTCCAGGGAGGGGGAAACTGTCCCCCCAGGGTGAGGTAACAGGATGGTAGGTGGCATCTGGGCTAGATCAATTATTCCTTTTACAGACAGAAGCAAAGGGCCAGAGGGTGAGCATCCACAACCAATCAGCTTTAACTTTAAAGAGCCAAGACCCTCTACTGATCTTCTAAAAACATCTAATGACTAGAAGAGGAATTGAACAATTTGAAGTAGCTCATTAACAACATCAAGAGCTCAATTACTAAAAATAACAAGATACCAGGAGTGAAAGCTGGTTTCCACTAAACAATGGTTTTCACTAAGTAAAGCAACATCAAAACTAGAAAAATGGTGCAATGTGGACTGGAGATGTAGACAGCAGGACCTTTTAAAGGTCTGAGCTCAAACTCCTTCAGATTGAAACTGTAGTATTACTAGGATTTTTTTTAAACCCAGGTCAACTTTTAACAGGTAACCTTGTTCCTGTAGATGCTATTGAACATACATAACCACAAAAATAAAAAATTGTGGGCCTCTTAACAGATGGGTCTAGTGGATGTCTAGGGAATAGCCCCAGTCCTGGATTTAACAATTGTTTTGAACTCAAATTTCACGTGCAATTAGAATTTGCGTGAGGGTCATTTGCTTCTGATGGTCTGGAAAAGGTTGCCACTAGTTCACACAAACACAATATTTACAGACTACACTTTCGATACTTTCCTTCACTTTCACAAACAAACATACACATTCAGACAATCATGCTCCTTACCTCTAGCTGGTGGGTATGGGATGGCAATGGACTGTTCCCGTGGTGACAGTCCCCTCGTGATATCAGGGCGCATCTGCTGCGAGGTGATATAATCGTTCAGAATGGTCTGCCGAGTGTTTTCCATGGTGTACAGCTGGTATGTGTTGGGGTAACCGGTCGGCGACGGTTGCCGTGGGAACATGTATGCTGTTGAGATGTACAGAGGACAACAAGGATGAGAGGTGAAAAGACCGCTGTTCTTGTCTTGACGTCAATGGTGCGGATTTGCCACAGTAGTGGAGAGTTGAGCAGGAAATGTTATTATCTAATGCATGAGAGTAGGTTGAAAAACCAAAACATGATGTTTATCAATGAGATAGGAATAGTGCTTTTAAGAGAGGACCATTAACTCAGAACATCAATCAATTTTGTGTGACGCATGAACTGTTTTCCCTGCAAGCCTGTTTGTAGGAAGCATGGTTTCAGAACAGAACTAATTCATTATTCACAAATTTTCCATTCCTTGGCAAAGCGTAGCCCACTACCCATGTGCTCTGAGCCCTATTAAGTAATGTATCAATGGGTCAGATTTACAAAACAACTACTGTTTTTTATTCTTTTCTAACATAGTTTAAAAAAACAGACAATATTCTGTATAGAGACTTTAAACAGAGACTGTTCTATAAGATAATTTTTTTAAATCAGCAAGAAATATAAATTTATCCTAGCTATTTTGTAAATGCATCTTACTGATCTTATTGTGAATGTTTTTGTATTGTTCATCCACAAATTAAATTTTTTACAGGTTCATGTAAACAATGAATGAGCATGGCACCCCTGCATACATAGCACACATGCGTAAGCACGCGCATGTGTTGTTTACATGAACCGGAAGCCAGCGCATGCATTGTGATACTCTCTCTACAATGGCGGCTCGTGCTGCAGACAGGATGAGGATAAGAAGTATTGTTGAGTAAAGTCGTTATTTTTGTTTTCTTTGCGCACAAAAAGTATTCTCGTAGCTTCGAAAATTACGGTTGAACCGCTGATGTCACATGGACTATTTTACCAATGTCCTTGCTACGTTTCTGGACCTGGGAACATTGCAGTTGTGTTGCTGTCTATGAAGGGTCTGAGAGCTCTTGGATTTAATAAAAAATATCTTAATTTGTGTTCCGAAGATGAACGAAGGTCTTACGGGTTTGGAACGACATGAGGGTGAGTAATTAACGACAGAATTTAAAATTTTGGGTGAACCAACCCTTTAATGCTGCTCGCAGAAAGAAAAAAAAAAAAGGAAAAAAAAGAGGAAAAAAAGTTCTTAAAAAGCTTTGAAGCATCTTAAAGATAGTGCCACATTTGTCTTAAATCCCAAAAGGTTTAATGAAATTTGTGTTATTTCAATATTAAGCATTACAATATATATTACTACTACAATTTTTACAAAATTTAAAATACTTTTATAATCACTTTTTTCTTTTTTAAAGAACTACATTATTAATCCAAATAACTTTATTTGTTCTTAAGAAGATTATCATGAATCTGGCCCCTGAAAAGATTCCATAATGCCTTAAATTACCTGGGTCGAGGACTCTGTGGTGAAAAGCGAGGCTGGGGTCCAAGTGTGGTGGTAGGTGAGTCCGGTACATCTCTCCAGGTGCCACAGGTCTATGGTGGGGGTCAAACGGGCTGTGAGAAGCAAGATGTTCACCCCCGGACACAGGTGACTTGGCGGGCACACTGTCCCTCTGGGTGGGAGTCAGTGTGTTCTTCCTCTCATGAGAAGCTGGTTTACCTGTTGTTATACTTCCTGTTTGAGAAAAAAAAATCAGTTCAATGACCTGTGCAATTGACTGCTAGATGTAAGCTAAGGATCGGTGTTTAATTGTTAGAAGAACAACTGTCTGGGGATGACTGAAAGATTAAATGAGAGATGCCGCATTCATACCGTCTTGCCCTCGCAGCAGAGGTGAACCTCTGGATATGGAGGTGCCGGTGTATGTAGGGGTTCTGCGTGCATTGCTGTCCTCATACATGGCTGGACTGAGCTGAGATTTTCCCGCTTCTGTGTGTGTGGAGCGAAGGACAGATGTGGAGTTCACTACAGAGGTGTGCCGGACACGTTCGGACGTCTTCGCATCCTCGTACTTGGCCCTCTCGCGCTCAGCTGCCTCAATGACAGAGTGTGAGATCTTCACTGGGCTTGTGATCAGAGATTTAACATTGTGCTTGATGGCTGACGGGTTCACAGTACTGCTCTCGTACTTCAGAGGAATACCCTGCAGAGATGCACATTAAGAAAATTAGGAGAACGATAAACTGTTGTCTTAAGGCATATTTCATTTGACTGATCTGAATGTGATTTGTGAATGTTCTTCATAAATACATTTCAGTGTGGGAAACTCTAACAACCTCAAATCAAGTACCTGAGTAATGGATCCTTCCAGAACAGGAGTTTTACGACTGTCTTGAGTCTCCTTATGGGGAATCTCGTGAATTGAGCGGCCCATCTCCTTTATGGTGTTCACCCCCTCATACGGTTTACCCTTTGTGATACCTCCCTCAAAAGAGCGTATGGGTGGACTTTCCCTCTTGATCTGTTTACCGTACTTGGAGGCCTCATCATAGACTTCAGCAGAGGCTCTTGGTGTTCCTGAAACATGGCAGAGAAGATTAAGCATGATGCAGAAATGTCCATACATGTTCTTAAAAATGAGCAATTATTAAAATTAAAGTAGTATTTATAGTTTTCTTCTCCTGTGGCTCTTTTAGCTGTGAGAAATATTTTGTATTGTATTATAATTTGAAATGATTTGCAATCCTTTATACTAGTACATACTAATCAACTAGAGTTGAAAACAACTAGTCTTTATATATTTTTATAAAATAATTACATATTTTCAGAACGGAAGTAAGGAAGTGTGGTGGAAGCATCAGCATTACCTTGCATGATGGATCCTGTGAGTATGGCTCGATCTTTAGACTCGTGAGGACTTTCTCTTGGCAATGCTCTGCTGATCAAACCTGACAGAAAAACAGGAAAAATGTCTTTAAAAGGTGCTCTAGTGGCAAACACACTCTCCGCTTTGAATCTTTTGTGCTTTATTCTTCTCAGATAAACAACATAAAAACATGACTAACCTTCATAAGGTGCTGTCTCACGTGTTGGGTGTCCACGGGACCCCTCCATGATGTCATATGAGCGTTTGAGATCGTGCCCCATTCGTGGGCTTCTAGTGCCATCTCTAGGGTTCTTAATGGCTGTTGGAACATAAAGCAAGATATATTATTGTAATAAAATGAACTAAAAACATCAATAGAGCATGTAAAAAAAAAACTCCTGGTAAGCTCTGGCGCTCTATAAAAATAGAAACTGCTCTTGTTGCACTGCTAACAAATATGTCATTTAGCCCTTGAAAAGAAGCACTTCACCTGAGTCTGAATCTGACTCCACTTGTGCCGGGAAATATAGCAGAAACTAATCACACTATTATTTTAGCCTTTTGACAATATAAACTATATATAAAACATAAAAAGCATATTAAAATAACTAGTCACAAAAACAACTTAAATATTCAATATCCCTGGGGTATACTGTTCTCACAAGTACACCAGAAAGGAAGCGGTTCTGGCTCTGACCATCAAAAGAGAGGATGTGTCCGCTTTTGCCTTCGTAGATAACATGAGGTTTAGAATGAGCATCAGATTGGCTCTTCTCTGGGCCGCTCAGGTCCTCTGTGGCCAGTTTAGCAATAGTGCCTTTCAACAGATCCGCTGCTACATTGGACTGAGTCAGGGCAGGAGTGCCCTACAAAGACAAAGAGTGAGTGTGAGAAATACTACACAAGTATAAATGAAAATTACTCAAATACTACAGTAAGGCCTATAATAAAGATACCTGCGTAATGGAGCCTCCTCTGAAATTCAAGCCCTCTGGGCCTTTTCCAGGTGGCCCTCTCATGTCTGGAATCTGCATGGGTCCTAATGGGAGCAGAGGAGAGGAAGAAAAACATTGTTTGGTTTGTGTTTGAATGGTAAAACTGTTTACTTTTGTGGATTAATTCTTGATTTTTATTAATTTTATAGTATATTTTAAGTCATCTCACCTCTGACAACTCCCTCATACTGAGCTCTGGATAAGAGACCCTCCGCCTGAGCGCTCTGTCCACGTGGAGAACACTCCTCCTGCTTAATATATGACACTAAACACACACACAATCAGGTGTTTAGATTACACATTTCATGGACCACATGAAGTATTCATCTTCTAAACATCATAACAAAACTCAGCCACAGAAGCCACGGCTGAGTCTAGTTAAGCTGAGCTTAACTGCGGGATTAAGATGTATTTATACTCTCAAATCTCTCTTGCTCACCAGGTTTGGCAGGGTCCTGCTGTCTTGGTAAACCGAGCGAGATCGACCCCCCTGTGGTCTTAACTACCTCCGGTACGTACACAGCATGCGTTTGAGAAGGAAGGTACGTTCCTGGCGTTCCCTGCAGGGAAGACACAAATCAGAGTGAAATACCAGGAAAACCCTTGATCCCTGCCTTGATCCCATTACATGTAGGAAGTATTTAAACTTAGCATAAGCACCAAGAGTCTTAAAGGGGTCCTATTATGCTTTTTCACTTTTTTAATTTTAGTCAGTGTGTAGTGTGCATGTTTGGGCATAAAAAAGATCTAGAAAGTTACAAATCTCAAAGTCCACTCCAAAGGGAGATATTTCGTTTAAAAAAAAAATCAATTTTCAAGAACTACAGCAAACAGCTCGTTTGGACTACAGCATTTGGTTTTCGGGCTTTGTGATATCACAAAGCGGATTATTAGAATATTATTACAAAGAATTCCCGCCTACAGAAATTCGAATGGTTGGGTATGGGAAGTGAAACAACCCAAATGTGGGACGAAACGGCGCGGTATTCAAGTGTTCGCTGACCTGTCATAGGCGCGGCTCAATGGACCGAGCGGCGCGACCGACTCGACAGCGCAGAGAGGACATGTTTACTATGAGTGCCGCGGACAGACACCGAACGGCGCCGCCTGTGTGCCTACACTCATAGAAAATAATGTGTTTGAATTTTAAAGCCGTGGCACGACGCTGTGCTTCTCGTCCGGTGTGCGACCGCCTGAAACGCTGTTTTTTTTCACTTCCGAAAGCAGATGATGTCAGGAAACAGTGGTTGCAATTTACTTCTTAACTCTGTTCCTGAGCATTATAACCCCAATTTGCTATTGTGTGCTGCGCATTTTACTGAGGACAGCTTCCACAACATGAGGGAGTACATTTGCACTAATTAGTTTGTGCACAAAGCAGCAACACTGGCCCAGCCCAAAGTTTCACAGTTAAAAAAAAAAACTGTGGAGACCTCAACAATGTTAGACTACATCAGTTTTATATTTTGGGAACAGTTCATTTATAACAGTTCATTCAGGGGAACAGTATATTTATAACAGTTCTATTAGGGGAATCTATTAAGACTTACATTTGTAATATGATGTAGCTGTCACAAGCTGTCAAATGTGGCTTTTTCAAGTTTTAGTGGAAACTGCATACAAAATATTGCTGTGTTTAAGGTAGAGGTCTGCTACCCGACCCGAGCCCGACGGGTCCCGAAATACTTTCGGGTTGGCTTCGGGTTAATGTTTAATGAATAGCTTCGGGTTCGGGTCGGGCTCGGGCTTATAGCTAAACTAAAACTATATGCATCTGTGTTTGATTTAAAGCAGGCCGAATGCTAATGAGCCTTAACTGACGAAAATGACCATAATTTGCACGATGGAAGAATTATCGTCTTGTCGTATACAACATTCAAAAACTCGGCAGAATTTATGTGACCGAGGCACCTGATGTTCATAAACTTTCAGAACTGGTAAGTGTTTTTTCTTTTGCCTTGTGAACTGGCCGAGCCTTAATGAATCGGTTTCTTTACATGTATTTGTTTACTGACCGTTGCATGTAATCGTGAAATACAGCATTTTTTTTTTATTGGCTATTTGTTGTGGAGAAAAAAAAAGTGTCGTGCCGCTCGGGTCGGGTCGGGTAGGGCTGGGTCAGACGATCTCGGGTACGGGTCGGGTTCGGGCTTCAGTTTAAAGCCTGTACAGACCTCTAGTTTAAGGGCACTTCAGTGGTACTTTAAGGTGTATTATACTACTAAGTAGTTTTGTTCCTGACTTCTGATTGGTCAGTACATTGTTAAAAAGCATGCAAAAATCCACAACACCATCACAGCTATGACATCAGACACCGTATCACTGCAGATCTCTTATATGGTATTGTTATGTTCGTTGCATAGCAAAAATCTGTTATGTCAGTGGCTGTATCTGGAAGGACACCACTTGATGAATTTTCTTAACAGAATAAAAAAAATAAAAAAAACACTAATACAAATGTTAAAATCAACAAGTCACTCAAGGCTGTGCTATACTTTGAACTGCATTGAGCATCGTGCCTAACAACGGCCTTTAGTCGTGACTATTCACAGCGTCTCTTCCCTTATTCCTTGAATGTAGACTCCAAGTCTCACTGGTCAGATTCAATGCTCAGTACTTCTGACCTACTACACACAACCTACCAAACTTCTGCAGGACCTGCAAATGACCTTTCTTAAAACCGACTAGCTTATAAAACCTAGATGACAAAAAAAAATTTAAAAACAATTTGTCACCGAAATGGAGAGAGCCTCAAACAAAAACCTGTGACTAAAGCCTGACAAAGAAACACAGACCTGAGTCTAACCTGAAGCTCTTAGTATGGGAGGAATGAAGTCTTCCTTCACTGCTGCTCACCAGTGACTCACAGCCCTACTAAAAGCACCTCTTCCATTTTCAGACAGCCCAGCCTCTCACGCATCTCTTTTGAAATATTGAGTCGTGAACTCTCTTGTCTCCTTCAGTGTAAAAAGCCTAGAGTGTAGAGATGAGATCAGGTGGTCTCTGCGGTTCTTTAGTGCAGGGTGTGAAGTTCTCTTAATGTAATCGCTTATCTGTTATGTGTTTCTGGATGATTCTTATGCACAAATAAAAACAATACAGGTCTGACAGTACAGACGTCAGTATAGTTACATTGTTCAAGTACGGTTCAACTTCTCATTCAGAGATGCTATAATGTCTGTATAAAGGCTGGCCACGTGATTTACTGGGGAATGCAGAGGAGAAGTTAAAGATTACTCCTGCTATGCTTTGTCATATTCATTCAAGGTTTTAATGAATACCAGTGACCTTTTACTATTCTCAAAACCAAATTAATATCACTGCAAAAACAAAAGTTTGGGGTCAGAAAAGAAAAAGAAATTAATAATTTTATAAAGACAAGGATGCATTAAATTGATCAAAAGTGACAGTAAAGACATTTAAAAATGTTATTAAAAAAATTATCTTTCAAATAAATACTGTTCTTTTGAACTTTCATCAAATAATCCTGAAAAAACATCATGTTTCCACAAAAATATACAGCAGGACATTATCATTTTTCTGCATTCTTCATAACCTAAACGTGAGTAGGGCTATCACGATTATAAAATCCTGAATGCATTTTGCACGTGTTGATTAAGTGTCGTGTTCCACAGACGAGAATCCACGAAAAGCATTATTAGACCACTTTCTAAGGCTGCACAAAGATTAAAACCATTTAAAAATCATCGTAAAGCATAGTGCTATTGTGAATTCACAAAGGCTGCGATTCAAATAAATATATGAGTTTTATTTATATGCGTGTAGGTTACATGCATTGTCCTCACTAATACGTTTTTGTTTGAAAAACGTCTCCGTTTTGGCCTTCTGTCCACACTGAGATGCTGCTTTTGTCAAGGAAAATGGAGCTTTTTGAAAACCCTCTACAAAGTGGATAAATCTGAAACAGCCGTTTTTGCGTTGTAGTGTGGACTGTGAAAACGGAGGCTTTTGAATATGATGATGCATGTTTAGTCATATTGTACCAATAGATATCTGTTTATACTGGTATTGTGGCTGTTATTTGCTATTAACTTTCACACTGTTGCTAAAGATATGTTACTTTGTACACTCTTCACATAACAGTCCTGCAAAGATGAGAGAAAATTTACTCAGAATTGCTGTCCTGTGGCAAAACATGAGGGCAGTTGCGTTTTAGATCAAACATATAATGGGGAGTGAGTGTGACTTGGACGCATCAGTGAATGATGAGATATTTTCGTAAATAGAATTTCATGAAAACTTATGTCTGTTCCGTCTGTATCATCTCAGTGAACAAAGGTTTTACACATGGGCAGTACAGTGAATTTAATGTGGATGAGTTACTTTTGGAAAACGTTTGAAAACACTAATGTGGACGGAGAACGTTTTGAAACGAAAACGCCATTTTCAAATTTATACGGATTAATGTTGTAAAGTATAAAAACAATCGTCAGGCCATTGGCGCCCTCTACAGGCATTTGATATAATACATAAAAGGGCCTTTCGCACCGCTTTAGTTCCAGAACTAAGGCAAAACATGAGGGCAGTTGCGTTTTAGATCAAACATATAATGGGGAGTGAGTGTGACTTGGACGCATCAGTGAATGATGAGATATTTTCGTAAATAGAATCCTGCCAGAAGAATTTCATGAAAACTTATGTCTGTTCCGTCTGTATCATCTCAGTGAACAAAGGTTTTACACATGGGCAGTACAGTGAATTTAATGTGGATGAGTTACTTTTGGAAAACGTTTGAAAACACTAATGTGGACGGAGAACGTTTTGAAACGAAAACGCCATTTTCAAATTTATACGGATTAATGTTGTAAAGTATAAAAACAATCGTCAGGCCATTGGCGCCCTCTACAGGCATTTGATATAATACATAAAAGGGCCTTTCGCACCGCTTTAGTTCCAGAACTAAATGTACAGTACTAAAGTATTGGGACGATTTTGCACAAACTATTTCCCAGTATCATTTAAAGGGTTTCATTCGCACCGACAGTGTGTACTAGGAAGTGACGTAAGCCACTGCAGTGGATTTCCTCCGTTGCGTAAATGTTCAAAAGTGCCTGCACTTCAGCGTTCGTCCATCTATCGCTCTTTTCCATACTTGCGAAATAAGTTGACACAATGTTGACAGTATGTTTAGATGGCGTTTTAAATCATGGCGAGTGAGGGCGTTTTTGTACGCGTTTGGGCAATCAATGTCTACTTACGTCACGGGTAGTACTAGTTGTGCTGGTTAGACCATGCTGCGGAGTAGGAGCTAATTTGGTTGGATTAGAGTATAGTTACAAGCCGAGGTCTCTATACATTACTGCCACGTTACATTGCTGACAGAATGCAGTAATTTATCATCTAGATTGTAAAAAGGATGTAGTACATGCACTGTCGAGTCAAGTGCCAGTGGATTAGAAGTGCTGGTAGACACTCGTGTGTGCGGGATGTGGGAGAATAAAATGTTAGGAGAATATTACTCTCATTTTGAATAATAAAGTTTATTGTCAAATACCCTGCCTGCATTACATAGGCCTATGTTTGTCACGTCATTATAAGTGTTGGATCACCACATTTGAGTCATCATTGCAAAAAATGTGTTTATATGTATATATTCGGTTTATGTATATACTGTTTTCTATATATAGTACCAGTCAAATGTTTGGACACACGAATGGGAAAGTGACAGGTTAGACCAGTAGGAGCTAATTTGGTTGGATTAGAGTATAGTTACAAGCCGAGGTCTCTATACATTACTGCCACGTTACATTGCTGACAGAATGCAGTAATTTATCATCTAGATTGTAAAAAGGATGTAGTACATGCACTGTCGAGTCAAGTGCCAGTGGATTAGAAGTGCTGGTAGACACTCGTGTGTGCGGGATGTGGGAGAATAAAATGTTAGGAGAATATTACTCTCATTTTGAATAATAAAGTTTATTGTCAAATACCCTGCCTGCATTACATAGGCCTATGTTTGTCACGTCATTATAAGTGTTGGATCACCACATTTGAGTCATCATTGCAAAAAATGTGTTTATATGTATATATTCGGTTTATGTATATACTGTTTTCTGTGTACAGTACCAGTCAAAAATTTGGACACTTCCCATTAGTGTGTCCAAATTTTTGACTGGTACTGTATTCTATGTACAGTACCAGTCAAAAATTTGGACACACTAATGGGAAGTGTGTCCAAACTTTTGACCATACTGTCCTATAATATAGCCTACAAATAAAGTATATTGGGCGATATATCGACATCGGTCTTTTTTTACTCCTTAATATCGGTATCGCCCCCCCCCCCAAAAAAAAACCATATCGGTCGAACTCTAGTAATAATAATAATATTTATTATTATTGTTTCCTATTCTACAATATCAAAGTGTGATATCCCTAGTTTGTTCTGAATCTCCAAGTAAGGTAATTCCTTGTAAATCACAGCTGCTGCATCATCAGTAGGGGTCATGTTATTGATGTAGCATGCATGTAGGACACAGAGGGAAATTTTTGTTGACCAGGTCAGTAACACAAACATCATTCCACTCAATCTGGGTCCTCACAGAAGAGGTCACTGAAGACCAAAGTCTCAAGCCAAAGTTCATTATGAAACCTGATCATCATAAAACAAATAAACCTGCAGGAGTGACACAGTCCTACCGGAACATTCCGTTTACTTAATAGATGCTGTATTTTTTTTTTCCCTGAGAGAAACATCTAGTGTGTTTTATAAGTGCTTGTCTCCATGAGAACAGTTTCCAGTTTGTAAGGGTAGGGCTGATAAGGGAATCAGTTACATGTGCTGAGCCTCGTGAGAGCTTCAAGGTTTCCTTCAGGAAGAAACTCACTGACCTGACTAGTAAAAGCCATGTAACTTACAAACAAATGTGAGCTCCTCTAAAAGATGGAGAAGCAGAGGGTGGGTCTTAATCAGTTTTCTAGTGACACAAAAACGGTCAGGTTACACGCTCCAGACACGGTTACTAATGACTGAAATACCAACTCGTGTACTTAATTGTATGCAGGTCTAAATAAACACTGAAGCAAAAACACTTCATAAGGCTTGAAAATGTATGAAAAAAGTAATTTGATAACAGATTTAACGCCAAAGTTCAAATATTCAGGCCCAAACAAGAAATATTCAAAAGGACTCAATAATTAACTCGAAGGCCATCAATCAGCTCTACATCTACAATGACGTATATGTAGCTTTGTTTGAGACTGCAAAACAAATAAATAAATAAACAAGTAAATAAATTTCACTGCAATTTTAGCCATAACATCTTGCGATATATTTATTACAATTATACAGGAGCCGTTTGTTTTGTTTTTTAATCCAAAGTGACTTCCAACAATGCATGCTCCAAATTTTATTGTTCGAGCCAACAATGTTTGAAGTACACAAGTACAATATAGATTAGTACACAATCCAGAGCAGATATAAAATCCAGAAAAGTAGATAGACAGTTAACTTTTTTCTAATTTTGTTTTAAATAAAAAACAACAGATTTGTATTTTTTATTATTTTTATTTATTATTACTAGTTATTTTATATATTATTTATTTATTCAAATAAATGCCTTTGTGAGCATAAAAGACAAAAAAACTTGCTGACTGAGATATAGATAAGATGTTTTCATTAGTAGACCTTTAGTAGTGTTTTCTTTAGTGTCTCCGATTTGAATCGCTCTTGTTGCTTACATCAATGAAGACTATAGTTCTTATACTCCATTTTACTCTCATTCGGGTGAGTGCTGCTGAGTGTTCATTTTGGTGCCCAAACAGTCTTGAAAAAAAAAAAAGCTGCAGGTTTCTAAAACTTTCGCCTGGATACAGGGTGTACAGACTGCTTACCTGGAGGTACACTGTAGCGGGTGGCGTTACTGCCGTCGGGCTGGGGTGAGGCTTTGCTAGGCTCGCGAGGAGAGAGTCTGTACGGAGAACCCGGTCTGCCCGCTCCACCGTGAGATTCCTGCTCCATCAGCTTCAGGTCAAATGGCATGTAAGTGAATGGCTTACCTGGGAACAGAACAGAGAAAAAAGTCAGTTACTCACAGACACCAAGCAGACAGACAGAAGACACAAAACAGAACGTCAAGTGTCCTCTCTATTTGCGATCAAGAAAACATTGTATTCAAATTATACAGACTCAACATGCATTAATCACAGGAATAGAAGATATAGAAACGTTAATTCAGTGCTATCATTGCAAATGCACTGGTAAGAGAAATGTCAAGGCAGGTTTTTAGAGCTACAGGCTGCCGGTCTGTAAGGACGAGGTCGAGCAAAACGTGGTGTTTCTAATGGATATCACTACAAAACAGTGACCTAATGTTCCTTTTGGTTGGCTGCTTCTGTCTGACTCCATTAAAAACAGCACTGTGTTTCTTAGCTGTGAAGAGCAAAGTCCACTCTCTCTCTCTCTCCCGTGCTCTCAACACCCTTCAAAAATCTGTTTTGGAGACCCATTATAAAACAGGAGGAGGAAAAACAGAAAAAACTTCTGTCTTTGCTCAAACTTCCTGGCATGTAAAAACTGAGTGAGGGTGCATGGGAGGATAGAACAGAGGCACTACAGGCACATCACAATCTATTTGTTTTGCAGTGGTCCATCTGCTTGTCTTTCAGTCTGATTGTCTCAGGGGAGATTATGTAACCTCAATTTTGTATTGTTCACTGCTCTCTTCACTTCAGAGACAGTTCCTTTGTCAAGGAGTTCTCCCAAACAAAAAGTGACAAATGCTCTATTCGGATGAGATTACTTTTATATCGAGGAGGTTGGGTTGATGTCATAATTACCAAAGCTTCTCTGTAATTTAAACCACTTATTAACTGCCCAAGACATTCAAATTTCTGGACATTATATGAACATATATATAGACTCCTCTATAAAATTAAGAAATACCCAAAAGCAATAAACAAATTCACATGTTGGTTCAATCTATTTTGTTACTGTGAACAATTCATCCATGCATGTGTTTCATCTTTTAACAATTGCTTTGACTTCATAATTTTTATTGAAACATTACTCAATCTTCTGATGAAAACAACTCCTCTCTGGTGGCGAATGCTGGACTTCACCAAACATTTAAACAATCAACTGCAAGCTCACATTCAGATCTGCCTCCATCCAATTAACCGATGGGTAGATCCAAAAAAAGATTTGTCGCCAATTCCACTTCTTCACAACTTTATAAGCCTGTGAATCTACTCGGTCTGAGAATCTCAAGTGGATATTGACCAAAGATCAAAGGGACATTTCTTCACAAAACTTCTTAGAGGGAACACTTGGTGCTGGATTTAGTTTTTTTCCCCCTCAATTTTCTACATTCACCTCAAGTGTTTTTGTGCATTCTTGCAAAGGGACATTTCTTCACAAAACTTCTTAGAGGGAACACTTGGTGCTGGATTTAGTTTTTTTTCCCCTCAATTTTCTACATTCACCTCAAGTGTTTTTGTGCATTCTTTCTCTCTTTCCTTCTGCGTCTGACTCACCTTCTCGTTCCACTACATTGGGGCTGTGGGTGGTGACTCGCGGCCTGCGGTCAGACTCGTTCTGATCCAGTCTCTGTTTGTCCTCCTGCACGGACTCATGTACAGCTTTGATTTGGTGCTGGAACATAGCAAAGCCGCTCAACGGTCCTCCAGGAACGCTGCTGTGACCGAATGAAGCTGAAACCTAAACAAACCATTCAGGAACAGAAAGGATTCAAATGGAAGCTACATGCTGGACTAATGTTCAGCAAAACAATTTAAATGATTAAATATTTAAATGCACGACTATTGTTTACTTTGCACCAAAATGTTACATTTTCATGAACCTTGTGAACAGCCAATCAGGGCTTAAATCCAGTTAGATTACATCCTTTTCACAGCCACACCAAATCGCCACAACAGACACCAACAAACAGCACAACTAATCAGCCCAACAGAGCAGCCAAACGTATTTTCACTCATCATGATTTCAGTGTAGAAAATCAATTGGTATTTGCTGATTCGTTTGCTGATTGCCGCAGAAGCGAATCACAGCGCGTGATCTGCGGAGGTGGAGATGGAGGCAGGACTCACGTGGCGGGGTGGCTGGGCCCTGTCTCTGTCCAGAGGGGCATATCTGAATGCTAAGTGGGGGTAGAGGCTATGGGGACTGACCATAGGGGGGATGGTGGCGGCCCGCTTCTGTAGCTGCAGCACGTTGAGGAATTTGGCTGAGGACACGACCACTGAGCCTGCAGTGGCAAGCAATGACGGCTTCTCCAGACAGAAAAGTCTGCCACAGGAAGGAAGGAACAAGATAATAAAATGTATTATCTACTGATACTCTACTGCTAGGCACATTTAAAGGGGTTTTCACATATACACAACGACACAGAGACCACAAATCATTTTTCGTTCATTCACAGACTATTCACCAGCTTTTGTAAAATACTAGCTCAAGCACATTCCCATGCTGGACAACTAAATATTTGTTTAGGTAAATACAACAAAAGAAAACAAAAACTGTATTTAATAAAAGCTGAAGCAATATAAATAATTCATTACACATCAGAGCTTGACAGGACAGTAAGGTTTTTTTTAAGGCTACAAGAATTGAAATGTTTTATTTTACATTTGCATTTCTAATTTAAATGTATATTTTTTGTATTCATTTCAATATTACTGAAAATACAATTACATAATTTTCACACATATACATTATCTTTAAATTAATAAATCACCACCCTATCCATGCTACTAGAAACCAATAGCACTGTATGTATGACAACCCCATAACAGAACATGAGCAGCGGCGTTCTCACCCTTGTCGGTCAGGTTCAGCCTCCACATCCTCATCCGCACTGCAGGTGGCGCTAGAGTCATTATCGGAGTGCTGTTTCTCCTCCTTGTCCTTGACCTCCGGCTCAGTCTTCACTTGCACCTGCGCTCTTTCGCTGCTCGGAGCATTCATCTCCACATCCTGTGTCTCACTTTTTGGATAAATCTGCATTTCATATGCAGAGCGTGTGCGCTCATCCTGAGGAAGCCCGTCTCCAGCTCCTCCTTCCGGACTGTTCTCTACTTTCACCCGTAGCTCGCCGTACGGAGGCTCCTGGCCCTTGGCATCTGCCACTTGGCCTTTGGTTGCCGTGACGTCCTGGTCCGACACGCCGTCCAGACCTGAGTTGGGATGAGTTGGCGCGTCGAATTTGGAGGGATCAGTTTGAGTTGGAGAAGGCGCACTCTCTGTGTCCGAACTGTAATCGGGACCTGAGGAAAGGAGATGAAAAAGCGTATGATTGAGCAAACACATCCTCTTTAAAGTCTTCTTTCATCTGTGCAAAGAGAACACAGAATATCAAACCCAATCTATTTCAATCTCTGCTACAGAAACACAAAGGCAGAGAAGAACCCAAACAACCCTGCCGTGACAGAGAAGAGGCGGCATTTGAGGTCACCATCGCTGCACACGGCATCACGCAATCAGGTTAATGCACTTCTGGACAGCAAACATCCTTTGGCTAATCACTACCTTTCCTTTCTTGCCGTTTGATGACACACCCTCCAGGGTCACAGGAAGTGCTACATATAAAATACATGAAGCACTGCATAAACATACCATTCAAATGTTTGGGGTTGGTAAAATTTTTTAATGTCTTGGAAAATTCTGTTAAGCTCACCAAGGCTTCATTTATAAAACTTTGTACAAAAATTGTACAATTTAACTGTTTCCTATTTTAATATACAGTGGGTACGGAAAGTATTCAGACCCCCTTAAATTTTTCACTCTTTGTTATATTGCAGCCATTTGCTAAAATCATTTAAGTTAATATTTTTTCCTCATTAATGTACACACAGCACCCCATATTGACAGAAAAACACAGAATTGTTGACATTTTTGCAGATTTATTAAAAAAGAAAAACTGAAATATCACATGGTCAATGGCAAAGCTCAATTTTCGGCAGCCATTATTCCAAGTCTTCAGTGTCACATTATCCTTCAGAAATCATTCTAATATGCTGATTCACAGCAGTTATTTGAAATAGAAATCGTTTGCAACAATGCAAAAGTCCATAATATCATTTATTCAGTGACCTTGTTGAATAAAAGTAATTTTTTCTCATTCTTACTCTTTCCCAAAACTTTGAAAGGTAGTGTGTATACATATATAACCTACAGGCTTACTTACATATCCACATCACAGAAACAGGCTTTACAGGCAAAATCACAAATGTACTCCACGTGCCCGCAGGTTGCAAAGAGCCAAGTTACCTCAAGAGTAAAACACATCCAACAACTAGGAAGCAACTATCCTTCTCTCTGAAAATGACTCCTCTCTCTCATCTATAATTCCTCCCTCCTCTTGCTGTGTGGACACTCTCTGCCACTCTCACAGTCTATCTGTTATCTGTCCCTCTGAGAGAGCGATGAAGGGTAACCTACTTGGCTCCAGGAGTATGTCAGCAGGTGCTACTCCAAAAAGCAGACGTGGAGAGAAAGATAAAAGTTTGAGGGTAGGAGAACAGAAGAAAGCAGCATCTAGCACATGTCAAGGAAAGCATACTAGGGAAGCAGCCTTGCAGGCTTCTTTTTTTAGCAAGGAGAATCTGAATAAAGTCTATAATGCACCAGGGCATAGTATTATGTTATTTAAGAGGAAAGGGAGTATAGTTTATAGTTTTAATAAATTGATACTTTTATTTAGCAAGGATGCATTGAATAAGTTTTACAAAAGATTCTATTCCAAATAAATGCTGTTCTTTTGAACGGTCTGTTCATAAAATGTTTCCACAAAGATACTAAATAGCAAAACTGTTGATAAAAATTAGAAATGTTTCTTGGGCACCAAATCAGCACATTAGAATGATTTCTGCATCATGTGACATTGAAGACTGGAGTAAATACTTTTATTTAGCAAGGATGCATTGAATAAGTTTTACAAAAGATTCTATTCCAAATAAATGCTGTTCTTTTGAACTGTCTGTTCATAAAATGTTTCCACAAAGATACTAAATAGCAAAACTGTTGATAAAAATTAGAAATGTTTCTTGGGCACCAAATCAGCACATTAGAATGATTTCTGCATCATGTGACATTGAAGACTGGAGTAGTGATGCTGAAAATTCTGCTTTGCCATCACAGGAAGAAATTGCCCCAAACTTTTGAACGGTAGTGTAGATGGGGTGGAAGAAGGTGAAGCGAACAAACGGGCACCCAAAGGGAAGGAAAGTGAGTTCTAAGACGTGTAACTAATAATTACTCTACTTTCAATTGAATGCAAGTGTTGTTCCAAGAATGCCGATATGAAGAGTTGGACCAGACAGGTATTGCTGGGCCTGAAATTACTGAATTTCTATTTTCATGTGCAAGTAACTACTCTTATTATGTTTAAAAAGCAAGTTACTCAATATGAACTTTTTGTGTACAGAATTGTATAAAGACTTGAAGCTGTGTTGTAGCACTAAAAATCACACAACCATATCTGAATAAAAGCACAACAGATCAAACATGCTCGGCAGAAGCACTCGGTTTCCTTACAGCGTACTTTTTTGAGGCTTTAAAGCCAGGGAACGCTTACATAAGAGCGAGTGTGGCAGGCAGAATTAGACCAGATCTCTTATGCTTTCTGCACATTGATTCCCCCTATTTCCACTCTCTTTTCTTTGTGTTTGTGTCTTATTCACTTGTTTCCTCTCCCTTTCATCCACCTCTCCCCCACCCGGCTGGTTCTCTCCTCATTTGCTCCTGATTCTCACTCATTAAGCGTACAGACAGAAGTAGAGGGAGGATGTTGACCTCTGTGGCAGAGCAGAGCGGTCTGGGGTTTTGCTGTCAGATCTAATCAAACGCTCTGCAGTCAGACAGGACACTGCTACTACTGCTCCCTCACTTCATCCCTCTTGTTGTGTCAGTCTGTCTGTTTCTGCTCTCTTTACATTATGGCTCCGCTGCGTCTCTTCCTCTCTGCTTGATCGGACTCTGGGTTCATGGGTCACAGAGCAAGAGACTGACAGCGATGGGTTTTAGGGTGTTTGTTTAGGCATTAGAGCTTATGTTGGAAGCAGCCGGCTGTAAAAGTCTTTAAATCACAGCGAGAGATCATACCGTCACTCTCCTCATCGTCATCAGGCGCAGGATCGCTCTGTGATGGGTCTTGATTTCCACGGAGCCGGCGGGAACCCTGCACACAACAACATAAGAGGTGTAAATCATAAGATATACATGTTAAGAATAATTCACGACTAAAGATTACACCACAGTCACGTGTATTCGTAAGACATTTTTCAGTTTGTGTCTCCATACAGCACCCTTTCTGACACCACTTTTAAGTGTCATGCTTAAAAACAGCAAAGTCACTGTTACTAGTAGGAAACTAGTAACTAGGAAAGATATAGATATATACTATTGTTCAAAATTTTTGGGGTCAGTAAGATTTGTGTTTTTTAAAGGGGGTCCTGTTATGCGTTTTCACTTTTTTTAATTTAGTCAGTGTGTAGTGTGTATGTTTGGGCATAAAAAAGATCTAGAAAGTTACAAATCTCAAAGTCCACTCCAAAGGGAGATATTTCGTTTTTAAAAAATTCCTTTTCAAGAACTACAACGAACGGCTTGTTTGGACTACAGCGTTTGTTTTCCGGGCTTTGTGATATCACAAAGCGGCCCATTAGAATATCACTAAAAATAATTCCCGCCTACAGAAATTCGAATGGTTGGGGGATGGGGAGGGGCGAGGTTGTGGTTAGAACGCTTGGTTGAGTGAGTGCATCAGACGAGACGACGAAGAAGAAGTGCTGCTGCAGAGTTAGTGCATCAGAGAAAACCAAGAAGAAGAGCTGCTGTGCTGTAGCTTCAAATTTTCGGCATGTCTACAACAATTCTTACAAGTACAACATGACGTAGCTGGGTGCCGCGGACAGACGCCAAACGGCGCCGCCGGTGTGCCTACACTCATAGAAAAGAATGTATTTGAATTTTAAAGATGTGGCGCGACGCGACGCTGCGCTTCTAGTCTGGTGCGCGACAGCCTGAAACGCTGTTTTTTTCCACCTCCGTGCCCAAACGTTTTTGTTTGGGCTTCCAAAAGCGGATGATGTCAGGAAACAGTGCAATTTATTTTTTAACTCTGTCCCTGAGCATTATAACCCCAATTTGCTATTGTGTGCTGTGCATTTTACTGAGGACCGCTTCCACAACATGAGGGAGTACAGTGCCTGCCGGATTCGCCAAAAAGATTTTGTTGAAAGACGGAGCAAGGGGCGTGGCAGTACTGAAACACCGTCTAAGCTGTTTGCCAATCACAACGCATTGGGACAGCTAACCAATCACAACACATTTTGTTTTTCGGAAGGCGAATCTTCATCAAAGCCGGAACTAATCGAGCCGTTTGTGCCAGGATGGGGAGAAAGGTATTTTAATAAAGTAAAGTCAATTAATGTGAAAAATAATGCGTTTTTCACCAAGCATGAGAGTATGTTCTAGTACACCCCCAAAACAAAATCAAGACTTTGTAAAAGAGCATACTATGTTTTATATATAGGCTAAAGTGAGTTTGATGTTGTATTTTGTTGTTGCATTCAAGCAATTGACGCCGACCTGCCGCTAATTCGAAAGTGAAAGTAAAATGCACACGGCGCTTTTAAGCTATTTAAAAGCAAAGAAAATAGGGAAAATTCAAACGAACAATTGTTTTACTCCGAATTGCCGCTATTTGAAAGTGAAGCACACCACTTTTACAAGCTATTTAAAAGAGAAGGAAAGCGAGGAAAAGAGGGAACACCCCGTCCCCGCGGTGATACCGGTATTACCGGTGTTGTCTGAATAAAGGTATTAATTTCTTTCAAAAAAAAAGAGGAAAAAAAATGCTGACCCCAAACTTTTGAACGGTATTGTACTGTTTTTTGTATTTTAAATAAATGCTGTTCTTTTTTTTTAAACTCTTTATTCATCAAAGACTCCTGAAAAAAGAATCACAGGAAATAAAAAAAATATTAAGCAGCACAACTGTTTCCAAAATTGATAATAAATCAGCATATTAGAATGATTTCTGAAGAGTCATATGACACTGAAGACTGGAGTAATGATGTATGAATCAGAGAAATACATTATATTTTAAAGTATATTAAAACGGAAAACAATTATTTTAAATTGTAATACCGGTAATACTGCACAATACTACTGTTTTGTTTTGTATTTTTGATTAAATAAATGAAGGCTTGATGAGCAAAAGAGATGCAATGTTTTAAAACATTAAAAATAGTAGTGTGTCCAAACTTTTGACCAGTACTGTACTTCTGTATGATAACAGAAAGCTGGCTAGCAGAAAGAGCATCACAGCTTGAGTTAGCTAGCACATACAAATCCTTTTAAATTGTCAATGAAATAAACTAACTCGCTTAGAATTTTCCTATATTGATTTACTGGCTGGCTAGCTACTGTAAAAACTATTTTTGGCATTTACTAGTTAAGCTTGAATCCCATAGATCAAACATATTTAGAATATCAAAACTTAGATGAAGTCTTTGGGCTCAAATGCAGCAAGTGTGGCTTCAGAGAAAATAAAGAGGAAAAAAAATGCTGACCCCAAACTTTTGAACGGTATTGTACTGTTTTTTGTATTTTAAATAAATGCTGTTCTTTTTTTTTTAAACTCTTTATTCATCAAAGACTCCTGAAAAAAGAATCACAGGAAATAAAAAAAATATTAAGCAGCACAACTGTTTCCAAAATTGATAATAAATCAGCATATTAGAATGATTTCTGAAGAATCATATGACACTGAAGACTGGAGTAATGATGTATGAATCAGAGAAATACATTATATTTTAAAGTATATTAAAACGGAAAACAATTATTTTAAATTGTAATACCGGTAATACTGCACAATACTACTGTTTTGTTTTGTATTTTTGATTAAATAAATGAAGGCTTGATGAGCAAAAGAGATGCAATGTTTTAAAACATTAAAAATAGTAGTGTGTCCAAACTTTTGACCAGTACTGTACTTCTGTATGATAACAGAAAGCTGGCTAGCAGAAAGAGCATCACAGCTTGAGTTAGCTAGCACATACCAAGCCTTTTAAATTGTCAATGAAATAAACTAACTCGCTTAGAATTTTCCTATATTGATTTACTGGCTAGCTAGCTACTGTAAAAACTATTTTTGGCATTTACTAGTTAAGCTTGAATCCCATAGATCAAACATATTTAGAATATCAAAACTTAGATGAAGTCTTTGGGCTTAAATGCAGCAAGTGTGGCTTCAGAGAAAATAGAGGGGAATCCCCCTCTTAGTGACTAAGGGGGATTGTGTGTGAGGGAAGGTCATTTTTAGACTTTTGTTTTATCATCATCATCTCACCTAAATGTTTGTTCAGTCAGTGTATTTTTTTTTTTTTTACAATGGCATAGCCTAATTTAGTTGCACAGTATATTACACACAGCACAAGGAAGTTTTAAACATATTTTTTTAATAATATTCATATAATTTACATGAATACTCACCAAGATGGACATTTTGATATCTTGTGTGCAGGATTTAAGAAATGATCAGTGCATGCTATGGAGGAAAGCACAGTGCGTGTAGGGGGTGTGGCCGGCACCAAGCAGTGTGCATGTGATTAAGCAATGTGTAGGGTAGAAATTCAACTGAAATTGCATTAAATCTGGTTGTTTTAACCAAGATTATGCTGCAAGATTTTTTTTCTCAACTACATTTAAATTCTCAGTTTCTGCAATTTTGCAAATTCACAGTTTATTCCCGTTAATTCCCATGGAAAGTTTCCAGTCTTGAAAATTCCCGGAATTTTGCAACCCGAGCAAGGATACATTACATTGATCAAGAGTGACCGTAAAAACACAGTAAAAAGCATTTAAATTAAATGCTGTTCTTCTGAACTTTTCTATTTCTCAAATAATCATAAGAAAACAATATTACTGAAGCACCAAATGCTCCAATGATTTCGGAAGGATCATGTAATACTGAAGACTGGAGTGAAAATTCAGCATTAAAGGGTTAGTTCACCCAAAACTAAAAATTAGGCTGTGTTTTACTCACACCCGATGCATCCTAGGTGTATATGACTTCCTTCTTTCAGACGAATTCAGTCGGAGTTATATAAAAAATTGTCTTTGATCTTTCAAGCTCTATCATTGTACTCAGCGGGTGTTGCAATTCTTCTGTCCAAAATACGTGAAATAAAAAGCACCCTTCCACAAAAAAAAAAAGTGCCTCACACGGCTCCGGGGGATGAACAAAGGCCTCCTGTAGCGAATCGATGTGTTTTTGTAAGAAAAACATCCATATTCAAAACGTAATAATCACTTTAATGTAGCTTGCGCTCACTGTTGTAAAACGAAAGCAGTTCCGGGGGAATGACGTATGAGATCAGCTTTGCGCATGTGCCGCTCAGAAGTGACAAACGCTGAAATGCAGCGGAGAGATCGAAACAAAACAACGGTCACTAATTAGAAGTACAAAACGAGGATTTGTAAAGAAGAATGTCGGAGGATTTCGATATAAGCCAAGAGGAGACTTGTTTTCCTTTGCTAAAGTAAGGAAACTTCGCTTCTTTTGCTCCTGTAAACAAACATTGGCTTTCACGAGACTCACCGGCGCATGCGCAACGCTGACCCCATACGTCATGCTCCCGGAACGGCTTCTGTGTACAACTGTTGGCGCAAGCTAGATTCAAGTGATTATTACGTTTTGAATATGGATATTTTTCTTACAAAAACGCATCGATTCGCTACAGGAGGCCTTTGTTCACCCCCCGGAGCCAGGTGAGACACTTTTTTTTGTGGAAGGGTGCTTTTTATTTCACATCTTTTGGACAGAAGGAATGCAACACCCGCTGAGTACAACGACAGAGCTTGAAAGATCAAAGACAATTTTTAATATAACTCCGACTGGATTCGTATGAAAGAAGAAAGTCATATACACCTAGGATGCATCGGGGGTGAGTAAAACACAGCCTAATTTTTATTTTTGGGTGAACTAACATCACAAGAATAAATTACACTTTAAGAAATAAAAAGAAAACTGTTAATTTAAATCACATTTTGTAATATTACAGTTTTTTATTATTGTATTTTTGTATCTAAAAGAGCAAAAGAGACTGCTTTCACAAATCTTACTGACCCCAAATTTTTGTACAGTAGTTTAAATATCCAGACACAGAAATAGTGACCTCCTAAAAATTTACTTTTTGTTTGGATGTAGCAGATAGATCTGTACCCGTACCTTGTGTTGGCGTAGTAGATTGTCTAGGTTGTATCGTCTCTTGTTGTTGAAGTAAAAGTTCTTACATTGAGCTTCACTCTTAGTGCCTACCATCTTAGCAATGGCTGGCCAGTTCCTACCATGTTCAACCAGCCCTGTGCACAAGAGAAAGTGGGTAAGGTTATAAATTAGTATACTGGTCACTGGAGTCAAACAGAACCCTTAGTAATTAAATGTTTACATGTATTACTAATGGTTTTCTTGATGGATGGATGGAGCCTATTATTAACCACAAGATCGTTCAACAGGTCCCGCTGTAAGATGAAAATAACACCCTCTATCAGCAGCACCACTATTTAAACACATGAAACATGGCTGGGTTTTAGTTAGCAATGACTGTGCCACTCCTCCTGCCTCCGTGGTGCAGATAATCCTGCCAGCTTAGCTAGAATGGATGAACTAGTTAAGGAAGGATGTGCAGGGCACCACAAGGTTGAAGCAGCCAGATTAGCTGAACTCCTGATGAGCATCAGCATGAGAGTCAGCCTGATTTTACAGTATCCCACAAGACGACACATTATTGATGATTATTAAGGTTGCAAAGGATGCAAATTAGGGATGGGCGATATCTTATCGTTTGCGATATACCGGTAAAAATTCTCCACACGATAAGAATTTGTCTTCCCGCGATAATAACGATAAAGTCTAGTTGTTGACATATTTCTGTGAACGACTGTGTGGAGTGACGTGAAGAAAGGCGGATGTGAAATTGAGCTGCTCCTGAATCTGGAATCTGGAACAGGTTTGGTTAGGGCTGTACAGTGCGACAAAAATCAGTCTGAGCCTTGAGTAAATGTACTACAGTAGCACGTGTGCGACACAGTTTTACATGTGTATGAGTCGTTTACAAACCTGCTGTCCAACAAAGATATTAATTTATTGACATGCTTTTCCTCCATATTAACTTCATAACATAGTCAAGTGTTTGAAATAACTTATTTTTGTGATCAGACGTGGTTTCGTATCACAGAATAAGGCAGAAATCATACTATTTTATAGCATTCTATACAGTGATAAAGGCTATGTCGATTAGCATTGCATTATAAATATACTTTATCCTTATAAAAAATACTCAAGATTGCTTGAAGAACACAGATACCATATATTTTGTGCAATCGCATGTTTATTGTCTTCAGGTTTCCTCAGTTAAAATTTCTTTATCTGCGTTTTATTCAGCTACAGCGATCACTGGATACTTCTTCTTGGAGCATTACTTCTACTATGCATATGTGGAGTTTCTGCACAAGGGCACCCTCCGGCTTCCAGTATGAATTAAACGATTAAAGTAATGCTCACAACACCCTATTTTGGGTAAAAATAGGAAAGATAATACTTTTCTCTAAAGAAACAGGATTCCCTAAATTATCGTCATTGGCATCGTTATCGCAATAAATATCAGAAATTATCGTGATATATTTTTAAGCCCATATCGCCCATCCCTAATGCAAATCACTTATTAGGTCAAGAAATCAGAAAGGACAGCTATCCATAGATATCTTAACAATAACTGCTCACTCTCTAAATGTGATATCACATTAGTTAAATATCTAGTTTGTCAGCAAAAAATGCCCATTATCAATAGATCTAACCAAATCTTAACAGCCTGACAACAGTATGGATGGCAAAACTACTGAAACAGTGGTTTGGAAAAGTGTTTGCTTATGGCATTTCTCAGGTTCTTGCAATGTCCCAATTTGGTAGCAAATTAAAATGAATAAATAACTGAAAAAGATAAACTTTAGATTAAATTAGTAAAGTGACTTTACCCTGCAAATGTGTGTCATCTGTATTTGTCTATTCAGGGTTATAGTACACATGACCAGGACCACATGCATGCCAAAAGCAGTTGTCAGCTTCAGTGATCAAAAGATTTACACTGAATAAACACAATTTCCTATGTATTCCTTCTTTATTATGATATTGTAAGTGATCGCCATAAAGTACTCAAGCTACGCAAACAGCACAGATAACAAATGACGTCTGTGATACTGTATATGTGGCTTTGTGTTCACAAATCAAAGTTTGGACCAAATCAGAGCAGTTCACATGTCACTGATCACTGCCATGACCATGCATGAGATGCTTGCATGCACAAATTTCCTATATATATTGTTTGGGCTGTCATCGTTAACGCGTTAACGCATGCGATTAATTTTACAATCCTTAACGCGTTAAAATAATTTAACGCAAAATTACTGAAGCACAATTTCTATTCTAACCCAATTTTGCTACTCTGCTTGCGATTATATCATTTTAGGCTGCTAAACTCCGGGAAAGTTTTCAGTACAATGACCTAGTAAGCGAATGCATTCAAACAATCCGTCCAAAACAGCGCTAATATAAAGGAAACCAGGCTGATTACATCAGAGTAGAGCTGTAGCTATCGATTATTTTAATAATCGAGTATTCTAGAGATTATTCCATCGATTAATCAGATAAGAAGTAATTTTTCTTTATTAAAGAGCAATACTAAATATACAAGAGATAATAAGATAGATCTCTTAAAATAAACAACTAATTTGTTTTCTTTTTAGAAAAATTAACATTTTTATTGCTAAAATTGCATATATTAATAACCGTGAAAACTAAACCCATTTAATGTATTTAATTGCCAAATTACATTCAAAATGCAAATGCGAATATATCAATAAAATAAATTTAAAAAAATATATAAAAATAAATAAATAAAAATACAAAAATCAATTTCACATTACTTTAAAACAGGTAAACAGTAAAAACTAAAACGAAGGCATAAATCAAAATAATAGTAATAAAAATTAAAATAATACCTAAACATTGCATTTGTGTCATGCAAATTAACTTTCAAGTTTCAGCCTAACTAAAGCTCAAGCATGACATAAGCCTTTACTGTCTTCTTGGAAGGCTTTGTGGCTTTTGAGAGGGGCAAAAATCAGTGGACAGGAAGGTAACTTGGAACAAGAACAAGCGACCATACACAATTTCTAAACACATTTTTCTGCAACATGAAATTACAAACAAATTATATCAGTATCAAAATTCTGTGCAATGCAGAGGAAACACAGAAGCTGCATGGGATGAATTTCCCACACAGAGGGACATGAATGCATTTAACCTGCAGTTACAAATTCATAAATAATATTTTGTTATTTAAAACATAAAACATTGAATACTGATATTTAAAATAATTTTAAAAACGAAGATACTTTAAATGTCAAATTAAACCCGCCAGCAGGTGGCAGCAAATCACTGTTAAAAAGTCATTGCAATTGAACAGAACGATTGATTCATTCAGGAACGAAACGCCATCATGTTGCACAGAGACGCAAAACAGCGCTGTGGCTGTGTTTGGATTTTTTTGTTGGCAAAAAGCAAAAACAAGCAATATAGTGTCTGAAACGTAAGTTTCATAATATTACCTTGTTTATTGAACTGTTGAATAAAATCACATTTGTAATCATGCTGATTTTAGAGGTGAAATCTGGCACTCGTCACATGATATTGACTAACGTTCTTTCTGTGGTATTTTTATGCACAGTGGCGTTTAGTCTTTCTCAAAACATAGCTAACGTAGGGACATTATAACTAGCCACCATATTGATTTACGATCTTAAATAATCTTAAATAGGTCCAGCGCTTTTTTTTACAGTCTATGGTCCAGAGTTTATCGGGTTGTGCGTCAGTAATAATGGTCAGTGGGGAAACACAGTGTTCCGTGTGTAGTTACAGTAAATGGACTAAATGAAGCCTCGAGGCAAATTATTTTTTGTATTAGAGTTACTCAAGGTATTCAAGGAATCGTTTCAGCCCTACATCAGAGATTGTAGAGAGAACAGACTCGCGTTGTGCTTTAAGTGAATTATTCATTCCAGAATTGTACCCTTAGGGCAAGTTATTTATTTTTCATTGGCTCAAGTAAAAAAATATAGATGTGAATCATTACCCTAAATTTTTTTAATTGGATGAATGAAACATTTTTTTCAGTGTACAAATGCTCAGTAAACAAGTTGAGATGGAATTCAGATGAGCTCTTCTCCACCTGCCACATCTCACATATCACCTTAAAAAGCCCATCAATGGATCTTGTTAGCCGTTAACCGGTCAAAGCTCCTCGATGTACTACTAAGAACCAAATGTCCTGAAATGACACCGGTTTAAGAGTGTTTGCCATTTGTCAAAGTCCTGCATAAAAATGCCACTGTTCTTGACTGAATCCGTTATCACATGTTGTAGAAGTTGGCCACAGTGTGCTGGAAAAGAGGCCTCAACCAGCACCAAAAATCATAATGAAAGTGTGTGTGGTGTACTGATTGAGTACTCATGGTGTCATGAGTACTGAATTAATCACCGCAAACATCATGGTTCAAGATCAACCACCTTGAGCCGCAGCGGTTTACCTTGATACGGTCCTAACACAGAGCTTCCCTCGGTTATCTCTTTTCACTGGCCTTGTGCGACAGAGTAAAACCTGGCTTATGCTTGATGTGATAATACAAACAAGAAGGTGAGTGATTTAATGAACTAAAAAACTTCTGATGAGCTGTATATTTTCTGCTCATGGCCACCTGTTGTTTCAGCAAACAGAGCAGCATCTCTCAGTTCTGCTTGGCAGCTACAGTGGTTCTCAACAGAATACGAAACAACACTCAGTTCCTCTAAACAAATACTCAAACTCAGTGTGCAGTTCTCCTAGTCCCCAATCTGTCATGTTAAGACTGTCCTCCAATTAAATTGAACTGTGCAGTGACATTGATGGCTCACCAGGGGTCTGTGCAAAAGACACAGGGAGAAACGCACACACACAAACACCTTCATGTTTGTTCCTCAGTGGATTGAACTTCCCCTCCACTAAAGACAGGACTAAAAAAGACCACAAAGAAAGAGGAAGCAGAAGGAATGCACTCAGATGACCGCAGCCTGACCTGAAAACACTTCTGCAAAACTCTGATGCTTTAAAGAGTCCTAGGGGTAGTTTGTGTGTTAATGCTTCTGTGAGTGCTTTTAATTTTGTATTTATACAAACACTTATAAAACTTAAATTTGTTTATCTGTCAATATATATGTGTGTGTGTACATGTTCTTAATGCAAAAATATAAGTGTGCCTTCATCTTTGGATATACGTCACTTAAAATTTAAAAAGTGATATACAAATAATAAACAGTCTATAAATCCATAACGACCAGGGTTGATCAACAAATTCAGAAAAACTGCTTCACAAAGGTTGTGGTTATAATCTAAATAAGTACATAAAGCTAATTTTTACTATCCTCCTTTCCAGACAGTTAATACAATCAGTCAAAAACAACAACCGGTAAATACCACAGTTTGATTCAGTGCAAACAAGACAAAGCTGTGACACTGACAGTGACTGTGGCAACACACTTGCAAACTGAACCTCAACTTGTTCAAGAGAATCTTGTGAACGCTGTCAAGATCATGTCCAAGTCAAATTTCACCAATTCTATTCTCTTGAAAAAGTGAAGCACATTTGAAGACCTAATAAAAAAAATAAATCATTACTGCAATGCAAAAAATACACTATATTACTGAACTGCAAATATGAAGAAAATACTGTAATCAATTTATTTTAGCAATCAAAATGAAAGATTCACTGTAGAATAGTTAGTATCTTGGTTACATACAAATGTGCAGAAGAACACAGCTGATTGAGGAAGTGCACTCCTCTGTGCTCGATAAACAACGCAATGCATTTAAAAATTTGAATACATTTGAATCTGTAAAATACAGACTTGAACGGACAATTTAAAATAGTAAAACTTATTATTGTTTGTATTATTATACAAATTATATTTAAATACACAATATTTTTGTTGACATTTCTTCAGGGTTCTTGATGAAAAGAAAGTTCAAAAGAACGGCATTTATTTGAAACGGAAATCATAACATTTTAACTGCAACATTATAAATGCCTTTACTATGACATCAAATTAATGTCTTTGCTGAAAAAATATTTTTCTTACTGATCCAAACTTTCAACAGTAGTGTATATTTACATATAATATATATTTGCATTGCATCAACCATAGCTCTTTTTTTTCCCCCAGTAATAAGAATTTTGTGAACTGTCATGAAATAATGCCATAATACAAAAAAAGCATAATGGTCCAAGAACAAGGCTTTAGTTTCCTGTAACTCATAATTCCTTTTTCTTCCCCTTTGATTTTGGGGTGACATGTGATCTGGACATGTTTTCTGAGAGATTTGCTAAAAAAAAAAAAATTTTTTTTTAAAAACCCATTAAACTATAAACTCAAAACCTTGATCATTCTTTCACAGGGGGTGAATTCTGTCTAGGGGTGATTGGTCGTCTTGTAAAGTTTCTAGTATGTCAAACAGTCACACAGTTACTTCAGGTTCTTCTGTACAATCCTAATCTGAATAATCACTACAAAGAGGATGCTCACAAGTACAACCCCAACCAACTTCCCCAACATGAGAAAACATGCAAAACCAGAGACATCAAATAAGTAGAGCAAAAGTGAGGTGAAAAATTTGTGTATGTGTGAAAGCGAGATCAGACAGAGCCAATTGAGAACCAGAGAAGGAGAGGGGGTGGGGGAGGGAGATGAAGTAAAAGTCAAGCAGTACCTTTTTTGGCGATCTCCATCTCCTCCTCCGTCCAGCGAGACGTCTCTCCAGCTTCAACTGCGCCTGTAGCGACACACACCGTCAGTGTGGATAAACTCGGGCGCTGCGGAGACCTCCACCCTCCTCCAGACCTTCCCTCCCTCCCACAGTCTCTCTCTCTCGGTCCTCAACCACTTTCTGTCCTTTGTCCCCGTTTACTGCTTTCCCTCCCTGGTGCTTACTGGACTCAACTATGCAGGCTCAACTCCTCGCTCGGTCTCTAGGAGAGAGTCCAGTCAGCTGATCTCAAGCAGACATTGGAGGAGTGCAGAAGCACCACCCTTCTGGGTCTAAGACCAGCACACACACTCTCACTCACTCACCCATATCATTAGGCAGTCTGTCTCATAACAGTAGCCGAGCTGAAGCGAGCAACGCAACAACCCCTCCCTACGTAATTTCCACTCAAACTACAGCAAGAGCAAGAGAGAGAGAGAAAGACAGAGAGAGAGAGAGAGAGAGAGAGAAAGACAGCATGGTAGAGAAAGACAGCCTGTGCTCTCCTCTCCCGCCCACTCCGAGGGTCTCCTTGAAATTGACTAAACACTAAGACAGATTTAGCACAGTGTGAACCTCTGACATTTATGCGAGAGTGAGAGTGTGTCCCCCCCGCAGTGTTTGGATGACTTGTGCGGCGAGTCTCTGCTAAAACTCTTCAAATAAACGTCTGTTTGGTGACCCACTAGACGCTGTTTGCATTACCCCATGACCCCTGAGTGTGTGCGTGTTACGTTTATATGCTCGTAGTCCACTGCTTTGTCATGTTGATGGTGGTTTGGACATGGAATTGGTGCATTGTGGCTCTTAAGCGCCGGTTTATAACTTTAGACTTACTTCAAAGACAGAGAAGATAAAAATCAAGCACAGACAAGATTTTTCAGGCGAGACAGGCAGAATCTCTTTGGGCCTACGAGGGCTTGAGGTTTAAAGGAAAAGTTCACCCAAAAATGAAAATTCTGTCATTAATTACTCACCCCGGCATGTCATTGAAACCCGTAAGACCTTCGTTCATCTTCAGAACACAAATTAAGATATTTTTGATGAAATCTGAGCGCTTTCTGACCCTCCATAGACAGCAATGTAACTGACATGTTCAATGCCCAGAAAGGTAGTTAGGACAACATTAAAGTAGACCATGTGACATCAGTGGTTCAACCATAATTTTATGAAGCTACGACAATACTTTTTGTGCGCAAAGAAAACAAAAATAACTTTATTCAACAATTCTTCTCCTCATCCCATCCTCCGCCATTATTGAGAGTCCCACAACACATGTGCATGCTGCTGCTGATGAAGAACAAGCATGCACTGCGCCTTGTTTACAAGCAGAGGAATGCATGCTCAGGAGAAGAAATGTTGAATAAAGTCTTTATTCTTGTTTTCTTTGTGCACAAAAATGATTCTCGTAGCTTCATAAAATTAAAGTTGAACCACTAGTCACACTGACTACTTTAATGATGTCCTTAATACCTTTCTGGGCCTTGACTGTGTCAGTTGCGTTGCTGTCTACGCAGGGTCAGAAAGCTCTCGGAATTCATCAAGAATATCTTAATTTGTGTTCTGAAGATGAATGAAGGTTTTACAGGTTTGGAACGTCATGAGGGTGAGTAATTACTCACAGATTTTTCATTTTTGGTTGAACTAACCCTTTTAACAGCTTTACTTGTCCAACAGATCATAATACAGAGGACGGAGGTCAGACTGGAGCCTGAAGTTTAGTCACCAGTTGTGTTTCAGCCTGTGGAGTACAGGCTGAAACACAACTGGTGACTAAACTTCAAGGTACAGCACGTTAATCAGCTAAAATTTCTGACCTGGATGCTGTTCAGGGGTAAACGTAATGAACAGTGTTTACAGAACAATTAGGTCTCTTAATTCATTTTAAAGTGGCACTGAAAGCTAAATGAAACAATCAGGCCGTTCTTTCATTCCTCTTTTCGCGCTAATCAAACTTCTCCTGAGACTCGCTGCGTTTACCTGCCTCTCATTATTGTCTCCATGGCGATCCCTCCACCTGCTGTCACCACGGCAACACAAACTCAGAGACCTTGAGTCTGGCGTTGGGTGGCAGGAAGAAGAGAGGGACAAACAATCTCACAGAAAGAGTGAGTGAGAGAGAAACGGAGCAAAAGAACAACAGAAAACAGCGAAAAGAGGGAACAAAAGAGTTGCACTCTTTTATAAATAAACAGTAAAATGAAGAGAAACTGTCTAGATGTCATGACGGCGAAAGAACAGAAGAGAAGTATTGGTGATTTGTCAGCCTCCGGGATCACGGTAACATTTGAATCAAGCACCACTAACGCACACATATACCACACTGCGGCCAGAGAAAGCAGCAAACTAGGTGACTTTTAGGCTTTGTAATGAGGTCACAGAGGAACCACTCACAGACTGACCACACGATCAGCAGACAGACATCACAGCACAGATGCACCTTTTTGAGAGGTGGCAAAGTGAGTGAGTGTGTTAATGTGAGAAGCTATTTGAACAGAAAGAGAGGGAAAGTATGTGAGGAAAAAGGTAGTGCTTACCTCGTGTCTCTATGCTGGCTGTGGGAGAGAGTTTTGCAGGCTCTCGTGCTGGTTTCTGCACCGGCTCAGTTTTAGAGGGGGGTGTGGGCTCCGGAAGAACTAAGCAACACACAGAATAAACCATCATGACTTGGGCTCACTTGTGCTTATGTTTACGTGCCTTATCATTGGGAAGTTGAATGCATTATAAGCAAATCAGTTTGTTCGGACTAATCATTAAAAAAAAGAAACATGAATCTCTAGTTCTCAGTTGTTCCCCAGTTGTTATTTTTTACATTTCAGTTTGTGAAACTGTTTGACTGAATGAAAATGAGTTAAGTTTATACAATAAGGTAAGATGATGATAAAAAAAAAAAAAAATTTACTAATGTTTTTTCTGCTAGTTCTCAGAAACTCACATTTTTACTTACATGTTTACTGGCCCCATATTTTAATATCTTGTTTTGTGTGCCTTAATGTATTTATAATTTTCATTTGATGTTCATTTTCTTTTATAATTTTTTTTCTTTATTTTCTTTCATAAAATAATTTATCAGAACAATTGATTAGGTTTTTGATTTGCAAAAATTGCTCAAAAGTGACAGTAAAGCTATTTAAAATTTTAAGTTTAAAATATTAATTTTAAAATTTGGTCACTATTTTAAGGTCCAATTCTCGCTACTAACAAACCACCAACTATGACTTTTGCCTCAAACTCCTGATTTGCTGCTTATTAATAGTTAGTAAGATAATTGTTAAGTTTAGGTATTGGGTAGGATTAGGTAGGCATGGGCGATAAAACGGTATCGATATTTATCGACGGTACACCTTCAATATCAATAGAATTTTTTTTTGCTATAGCGCACGATATAAGCACGTAGCCTACTATGAGTGACGCAGACAGCACACAAAAACACGAACACATGCTGAAATGAGTGCTGTTCCTGCCTGTGATGAGGAGATTGTGAATAAAGAATTAATATTAGTCAAATTTAAAAAACATTTGCATTCGAATGTTAGGTGTGCATCAGGGAGCGTCATCAGTGGCGCGCGAGATGCGGTGATGATGTAAGTGGCGTTGTTGCATTTTAATGTTTTGTTAGTCTAGCCCACGAGACGCGCCGCTGCTGCGTTATTCACTCAAAATATTAGAAAAATATTGAAGCTCAATGCGGAGAAGATCTTGATTAGGTGAAAACCGAAACCAAGCCATTCACACAGAACACATATTCAGCGCATTTTTTTAGATGGACAAATACGACTGCTGCACTCGCGTCTCACACAAGAGATGTATAGAAAGCCATTCAAAGTTAAAACAGTTTAAACTTTTAGAAAACACGTCACGAATTTGTGGAGGTTTATTCATTTTCACTGTGTCCCATATGTTTTTAAATGCAGTCTGAGTGAATGGCGCTTCGGCTCTTTGGATTAAGCAATGCATAAATACAGGATGCTGTTTTGTTCATAATTGTTCATGCAATTTATGAAATTAGATTTGATTTTTATGAGTTAAATTAGACGTAATGCACGTTTTTATAGAGTCACTTGATAAATGCGCTGCATTATTTTGCTCATTGCGTCCTCCTGTGGCCTCGGGAGACAATTAGACCCATACAATAAAGACCTATTTAATCTGCATATAAAACATTAGAAATTAGATATTTCCTTTTTATTGTGTTTGATTGTTAAAAAAAAATATTTGTTGTTTGTCTCAATAAATTGTGTTAATTATAAATACAGTGGTTAAATTAAAAAAAAAATTTCCATTGCTTTTTGTTTTAAAAAATGTTAATAATTATCTATAACGAACGATATGAAACATTATATCATTGATAACATTTTTTGCTATATCGCCCAGCCCTAGGATTAGGGATGTAGAATATGGTCATGCAGAATATTTGCTTTTAAAGTACTAATAAACAGCCAATATGTTAATGCTAATAACCAACTACTTAATAGTGAGCATTGGTCCCTATACTAAAGTGTTACTTAAATTTTTTTTAAACCCTTAAATTTAATTTCTATTCATCAAAGACTGCAGACAAAAAGGAATTTACACAAATATTAAGCAGCACAACTGTTTTTAGAAAAGCTTATGTAAAATGAATGGCAATAATATTTAATGCAAACCAAATGTTTAAGCTTGCAAGGCATAAAAACACATGCTCAACAAATGTTACCTGGTTCAGGTGGCAGTGGATCCTCTGCCACCACAGATGCAGCTTCATTATTGGCCATGGAGCGGGTGGTGATGCGGCCCTTACGACGTCCCTGGCTGTTGGCGGTCTTTCGGCCACGTGGCGTGCTTTGCTCCTTACCCTCTTCCTCCTCTCCCTCACACTTCTCTTTATCTTTACTGATGTCCCTGCGGAGGCAAAGGCGAGGAATAAAAACTCTCCTCCGCAATGAACTCAATTCAAACCTAGATATAAACAAATCTATTCAGATGGTCAGAGCGAGCAGAACAGAATTACGAATGCAGATACTGTGCGAGTTTCTCACCTGCTGATATATTAGGTCTTTGAGTTTATCACAGAACTTCCATAACGTGAGCTCACACAGATCTCAAAACCACTTCTGTACTGTTTTGTGTGTTCACAGAAGTCTCAAAAATCCCAGTTTTTTTAATTAATATAATTAATTCTACTTTTTAAGAAAACAAAAACATGGGACTTACTTAAAGTCCTCTTTTTCATCTTTCTCCTCCTCTTCCTTCTTCTCCTCGTCCTCTTTCTTCTCTGATTTCTCTAACCTGTCCTCTTCGTTCTTGTCGTCTGTCTTGTCTTCCTGTGACGGTCGTGTTATCTGCTTTAAAAGGAAAAGAATCACAAAAGAAGCATTTAGACAGCCGACCTTTTCAAGAGCACAGACCTGTGACCAGGTTCACGTCACGGGAATAATCAGCAGTTCACCTTAAATTGTGTCAGCCCAGCTATGAAGAAAAAGTAATGCTTATGTACCATCAAACACTAAATGGGAAATATGTTGAAATATGAATCTAAAAAATATTTCATTCAAGTGAATATTTCAGTTACATTTCTTAAGCTTGCCCTTCTTTGTTGCACATGCTTGCGCTATTCTCTCAGTGAAGTTTTTTTTTTTTTTAAATCAATAGTGACTAGTTTGTGCTGTTAGAACAAGTTTTTATGTGAAAATATATTATGTGGAAATATATATATTATACATACACAAAATGTTGTGCAGATCATGTTATAAGAATGCCTTCTTGACTATAGTCAGACTGGCATTTCCTTAGGTTGGAAACTGTCAAACTTTTGGGAGGACCCGAGTTTTCTACATTTCACTGTTTGCCACTGTGACAAGGCCCACAAAACGGATCTCACTTCAGTTTAAAGTCAGACGGCAAACCGAAATGCATGCTCCAAATCATTCCTGCTCTGGACTGAATCAGACAAAATTCCTGTCTGGTTACTGATGATCTATCTCTGTCTCTTCCTTACTTTTTTCCATAAAAAATGAAAAAAAAAAAACAGCATTTCAAACACATTCAATCATCACATCCCTTCAGGCCTACTTTCCTAACAAGGAAAGTAAAAAGCATTGCAATTCTACCATTTTTCATATGACCTGACAACAGAAATTTAAAAAACAAATCTGAAAAATGAAGTCAGATTCACTGTGCAAACAAGTTGGGACTGAATTACCTACAAGGACAAAGTAGCCTGGCCTTGCTAGTTCTTAGAAATGTAGCTTTCCGTGCTCAATGGTGCTAATTTTTTTTGCCTTTCGAAACCTTATCTGATCTTCAGTGTGACGATAAGCACAGAACTCTTAAGATCTGATACATATGACAGAAACACAATGTGGGTTGAAGGGTAAAATATGCATGATTGGCATGACTGGAATGGCCAAACATCTAAACAAGCACAGCATACAATAATGTTAACATATGTGATGAATACCAGGACATAGATGTCATCAACAGAAAGAAAGGACCAAGAAGAGGTGGAAAATATGAAGAGAGAAGAGGCAGATGAACACGTGAGAGAAAAGCTAAACAGAGCAAGTACTGGCCAATCAGAACAAAGTCCTGTAGGTGGTGCCCACATGAACAGAGACTTGGGAAACACCATCCACACACAAAACACAATGAGCCCAATGTTTTATGCAGTTAGTGTAAGTTTAAAGAGTTTAAAAAGTGTCTCTCATAGCAGCAGAAGTAAGGAGTAAAATCTTTCTCCAATGTTCATGAACATGCATAAACAAACGTACCACAGATCTGAATTTTCAGAATTGGGCTCTTTGTATCTAGAGTCACACGTTTGATACAATAAATGCAAGTCAATGACATGCACTACTGTTCAAAAATTTTGGGTTGGGTAAGATTTTTTCCATTTCAGAATTCAGAAATTAAAAACATTCTCATTACAGAATAGATGTATTCAAGTCACAGTATGAATTGCATTTTTCATGTAATTTTTTTATAAGTTAATTTGACAAAGAATATTATGTTATTGAACCATATTTATCCAACAGGCGCAAACAACATTATACAGCATCAATAAAGTTGATTCTGTACTGCGAAATATCTGAAGGCCAGCATAATCAGTGCAGAAACGAGATGTTTCACTTCCATTTAAACTTTCAAAACCATCTAAGCTTTGCAAGAAATCAATAGAAAAGTATTAGTAAATTAAGTTTGCAATTTGAGTTTACTTGACAGCCTTCCAAACATGAGATCTTGTTATTAAGGTTATCAGCATCTGCAAAGCAGGTGACGTTATAGTTTTTTTTAAACGGGAAGGGGGCTGGGTCAGTTCACACTGATGTAGGTTACTCATAAAAAAACAAGGTAAACAAAATTATCTAAATACTAAATATTCAGGTTTCAAATGTGAACAGTCACCGTCTAGAGCAGCGTTTCATATGCAGGCTGACAGTCAGACAATTAAGTGAAAATGTAAGTGCACGCAGTAAATGTAAAACGAAAATGTAAGGCCTCCTTTAGACTAACATTAGCCTAAGTGCAGGACTGCAGTTGGTGGAGAGGGTCTTTTTTCCTTCGTTTGATGAGGGAACCAGTGTGCTAATGGCCCAAGGTCCTTTATCATGGTTGCTGGCGTGGACAGAGGAACTGGAGCCCCTCCTCCTGCTCGGTCTGTTCCACGAAAGAGAAGCAAAGCATTGGAACAAGCAGGGCTCAGCCAACACAAACAAGCTGTGCAGCTGCCAGATGGGACCAAAAAAATAAATAAAAATGTCAGAACCTCTGCCACAGAGACATAGAACAAGTAAGGGGGGAGGAAGGGAAACTGAGATAATTCAGGTCAAAACAAAAATAAAAATGACAAAGGGGCCAACACATGAAAGACATATAGCAAGCATGGAGAGGACGCAATATTGATCATTCATTCTCTAGGCTGAAGGGCAGGAGGAGGATGTGCTTGTTCCAGTGCTCTCTTCCAGTTATAGCACATCGACAAACTGACACATGGATCATAATAAAAGCCCATTTCTGCCATTCAAAGCTCAGTTTACAAAGCCTGTAAAGAAAGTCTTTAGATGGAAAGTAAAGTCAAAGTCTTATTTTTTGTTTGACCGCTTATATGGGAATGATGATTTACTTCATTATAAACCTATAAACAAAGCAGTGTTGATATCGTTAAAGAAACATTTAACTGAAATTAAACTGAAATTTAGTGATGTTGCTTTAGCTAAAAATATTTTGTTTAAGTTGATCTACTAAAATGACTAAAACTGATAACTAATAAAACAACTAGTGCTGTCAAAATGAATGCAGACGATTATTTTTGCCCTTGCGGGCAGAGCTAGTTTTGGCCACCCCACTCACAACTGCTTCCTCGGTCTCTTTTTCCTTGACAAGAATTTCGTTTATTTAGACGCAGAATGGGATACTTTTCAGATGCACACTCTACTTCGCCTCAGCGACAGGTGTCAAGTGAGCATGGAAACGGTACAGGTGACACAGGTGTAAGTTATAGCTTCTGACCTTTAAATCAAAACATACTCATGATTTTATGACATCGATTACTGCGTTATTTAATCAGAAACACAGTCTAAATGTTATTTGTGCATTTTACTTTCATTTTATTAGAAGTAGGCCAACAACGCCCCCTACGGAATTAAAACTCCTTACCGAACGGGCATTAGGACCCGGGGGAGGCTGCGGCTGCACGTGCTATTACCATTTAGTCTATCATACACCAAAGGCATCATTCTGTACAGTACGTGCATTCTCAGTTTAAATGCAGCGATCCAAAACAGTGAATCTAATCACCATTCAGGCAAAACTTTGCTTCAAGAATGAGCCACACTGTTGACGTGATCTAATTGCTAGCACATCTGAGCACATGTGAGTTAAGGTATTCCTCTTATTGGCAAAACATATCTGGCATAATTTTTCATATCGGGCCGATGCAGATATTTACATTTAAAGTCATTATCAGACGATTCTGCTATAGGTCCGATAATATCGTGCATCCCTAGATGTTACCAGATCATACGTCAGTAAAAACTAATCTTCCTGTCCTATCAGCCGATATACTGTGCTCTTCAATCGCATGCACAAATATGGCAGCATGTGCTGTGTCATGTTCAGCAGCGGCAGTTTTTAAAGTAATAGCAGCCAAATAACCTAATAACTCAGCTGCTTTGATGTCTGCTAATCAAAGAACAAAAGAAATTAGCAAATCAACTTCTGTAGCTTTAAAGATTAATCTATATTTAATTTAGTGTTTGATAACTTATTCAAAAATGTTAAAATTTATAGCTCTCAATTATTATACTGTAATGTTAGTATAGTCAACATTACATATAGTCAATGGTTAAATATTAGGGGGAAAAAAGAACAATTTCACTGAAACATCAGTACTATTTGTATCATTAATCAGTCATAAAAAAGATGTCATGAAACAAATATTAAATATATACTGTATGTTGTTTCTACATTAATCTGAAGATTGAACGTGAAATTATTGCAGTATAAAAGTACATTTAAAAATGTGATTGTTAGGTGGTATTAATCGCGATTTCAGAAAAAAATGTGTTAGTTTTTTTAATGTGTTAGTAATTGACAGTACTAAAAACAACACAAACTTAAAAACTGAAAATACAAAAAGTCAAAAGTAAAAAAAATAAGTCAAAATATGAATATATACTATAATAGTATAATATTAAAATAACACGGGTATAGAGTAGCTTCTGTTCATGTGCTATTTGAGGAATCAAGTCCTGATGTGCTCACTGTTTCACTGTGGAAATGAACAGGTTTACACAAAGCAGAAGGAGGTCATCTTCTTTGACCAATATTACTTTAACCCTCAGAGTGTTACTTCAACATTTACTTAAACCCTATAGCTGTTTAAAGCCATTATTTCACTAATTAAAAAACTATACAACAGCAACATTTTGGCAAGTTACAATTAGAATCTGCAAGGATCCCACAATAAGTCACACAACATGGTCACTGCTTTCTTACGTCATTGCTAACTGTTTGGGATCAAATACAGAAAATATATTCTAAATTATTTTGTAATTGTAAAAGTATTGATGTAGCTTAACGAAACTTTATAGTGTGTAAGAGCTCTGAGATGAAAATACTGGTGTTTCAGCCTTCTAGCATACAGATGGTTCTTTATAAAGGTAAATATGCATCTAAAAAGTTTCAGGTAATATACTGGGTGTCAGTTATGCCTAGTTCACACTACAGGATTTTAAGCCCGATTTGCAAGTTAACGAGCTCGCTGACAGGTCGGGCTGTGATCGGGGAAAAATCAGCGGGTGATCGGCGCTCGGCAATCTTTATGTGTGAACTACACAACGACACA